AACAGTTGTCCTTACCATCAGACTGGTGGGGTCCAGCTCAGGACTGTAAGCGGACTGCAGAGTCCCAGCACCGGGCTGCTGGGGGACAGGGTCCCAGTGCCAGCCTCCCTCTCCACCAGGGTCCTCCACCTCCTGCTTGGATCACTGTCTCTGTGTCTCTGTCTCTCTCCCTCTGTCCCCCTCTTCCCTCTCTCCTTCTCTGGTCCTGGTCCTTGCCTCTCTTCTGTCTTTGACCAGTTCTTGGCAGATAGACAGCATTTCTGGAAAAACCGCTACCTGACTTGCCTTCTAAACACAGAACCACAAACCTCCTGCCCAGGCCAAGGGGATCTGAATTGTCCAGGTGGCCCTGGAAGAAGCTGTTTGCCCTCAGCGGGCAAACAACCGCCGAAGTCAAACAAACCTGCCCACAAGTAAACAGCCCTGCTGCAGCCCCTTCCCGCCACTTAGCCGAAACCGAGCCCGCAGCAGGCAGAGAAGCTGGGCCACAGCCGTTGCCCACCCAAGGGGCCGGGGAGGGGGTCTGGGACCACAGGTCAGGCAGTAGGGTGGCTAGCACTGCACTCAGCAGTTACTGGAATTATCAAAGCAGCACGCACAAAAGCAATCCGGAGGGCGAAGGGAGAAATACCCCCTTCCTCTGGCTCCTAAGAATGCCACGGTCATCTGTGTCACTGAATTAAAGTGATTGGTGTTGTGGGGAAGTCCCTTCTATGTCATAAACTGAGGGTGCTGCCTGCCAAGTGTGATGCGTTAAGAGAGGAGCAAAAACGAAGGCCTACCCTCAATCTTCTTGTCCCCATCGCCCTCCTCCCTGTCCCCTCTGGACACTCCTAGTGTGGTCCCCTGATGGTTCTGACTCTCCTCTCCCTGCAGCCCTCCCTCCTGCCAGCCACAAAACCCCTCTCTCGGTGCCTGAGCCCTTCCACTGTGCCCCTGTGCCCTTGGGACAATAACCCAAGCACCCAGCAGAGTGGGCAGCTGCTCTGGCCCCGTGCCCATCCCAGAGGCCCTGCTGTGGTCTCCACCCTCCCATGCAGCCATCTCACCATCAGGACATGACACTTCCGTCCCCCGCCCCCAGAATCTTTATGCTGCCCTCTGCAGTCAAAGCCTCCCCGTCCTGACCCCTGCAGGCGCTGGCCTGTCCTCCATCCTGTGGCTCTTCCCTTTCCAGGAGGCCACAGACGTGACTCACTCCAGAGGCAAGCTTGGAAGACCGATTTCTTCTGTCCAGGCTCAGGCATCTGTCCAAGCAGATAAAGAGTGGATTCACCCATGTCTGTGGCCCCCAGCACAGCAGTACCACTGTTTGCTCATCCAGCCTGCAGTAGCAGGACCCCTGGGTGCTCCTAGTCTGGGGTAGTCACATGAATAAAGCGACAGTAGGCCCGGGCATCAGGTCTGGGGTGGGCATGCTTTTATTGCTCTTGTATAAATAACGTAAGAATGGGGATGCTAGGCTCTTTGGTAAGCACACAGGAACTCTGTGAGAACCTGGCCGCTTCCTCTGGTGTGGTTTTAGCACTGCACTTATCCCTTTATTTTATTTACTTTTAAAGTTTTGTTTGTTTCTTTTTGGAGACACTATCTTGCTATGTAGTTCAGGCTGACCTGGGGGGTCCTCCTGCCTCAGCTTTCTGAGTGCTGCGACTACAGGCATGCGCACCGTGCCTGGCTGTTTTCCCCTTTAATGTTGGGAGTTTTGGGTAGTCTGCAACCCGGCTGGCCTGAGAGCATCAGGGTGCTTTTGTTTTGCTTTTGAATATTAACAATAAGCACATCATGACCTTTCCTTCCCTCACTGGACATAGTGCAGGCCATCCTCCACTGTTCCTACCCCAGGATCCCTCCCCCCTGCCCACATCCCCATCTCCTTCATCACGGGCTGCAGGGGCCTCCTTGCTTCCCCTGCTCCAGGCCAGGCTGGCTCCACCCCACACACTACACAGGCCCCAGGCCGCCTGCTGCCCTGTCTCCTCCCCACGGCAAAGCCACAGAGAGAGGCCTGGAAGCAGAGTCACGCATAGACCCGAAAATCCAGAGCCAGCAGAGGTAAGGGTGAGACCCTTCCTGTCCCTGTCCTCCAGGTCTCATCCCCCTCCTCACCCCGCATCCTAGGACACACCACACTCACCTCCCACCCCGCAGGCCGGGCAGGGGGAAGGAGCCCCTGCCAGTGGGAATGTGTGGCTGGGTGGGCTCCCGCCATGGGCTGACCTCACACTCAGTGCCCCAAACATGGGCCTGTGCACCCGGCTCAGAGACTGCAGCTCAGCTTCCTAGAAACAGCCCCGGGCCCACAGCACCCACACTGCAAGGAAGCTGGTGGCGCCCTCGGGGTCCACGCCTCACATCGCAGGTATGGAGCATGTCTGGGCTGGGATGAGTCAGGCTGAGGCCCAGCTGCACTGTGTTTCTTGGAAGCAGATAAGGAGCGGATTCTCAGAGGACCGCTCTCACCCTGCACCGCCCACTGTTCCCTGGACCAACCCTGCTTGGTCTGGGCTCCCGGCCCAAGCCTGCGGCCAACCATGCAGATCACAGAGCCCGAATAACAGGAGTAACAGGAGTAACCGGAGCCCCAGGTGAGGGGCCCTGGGGCGCAGGGGCAGCCTTCTCCCTTTTGCATGGCCAGGCCTGGGGTTTCTGATTCCAAAACCAGTTTATCGTCTTCTCAGCTGAGCCAGGGGCTGCAGGGGAGCACCCGCATGACACCCCAGGGGCTGTGTGGAGTGGGTGCTGCAGGGAGGCCCTGGATACGGCCTGGACACACAGCCCTGCAGAGGTGTTCCTGCCTGCTGAGACTGCACACAGCCAGCCAGTCACCCTAGGTAAGCTTGGGCCTGCTTCTCGCCCTTGGAGCAGCTCCTGGAGGCTCCCCAGGGCTGACACTCAGTAAAAGTCATCTCTGACATCCTCACCGCTGCATTTTAGGGCCTGACAAAAAGAAAACCTGGGTGTCCCACAAACCCCACATCACACCATCTACCGGCTGTAAGAGAATACACTTCTCAGAGTCCACCATTCCCCGTGACAACCCACTTTACAGATGAGGGACTGAGGCTTAGAACCCCGAGGCCCCTGCAGACCCACACAGCAACTGCCTGGCACTGACCTGGGTTCTTCTCCGCTCCCCAGACCACACCAAGTCCCTCAGTCATGGAATGAGCTGTGCTGCGGTGCCCAGATTCTTGTTTCCTTAGACTACAGGGCAGACCACACTCCAGCAAAAACCATTTGGCTGTGCACCAGCAGGGAGCGGGTACCACACAGCCATGCTGGGCACGCAGGTGTCACTATGGACAGACGCAGGCGTGAACTCGCTACCTGCAAGCAAAGTGAAGCAAAACCCAGCAGACACAGAAGCACATGTCTGGTAAAATCACAACTCAAAGAGAATCAGTATGTGCTCAGAGAGAACCGGAAATAAGACAAAATGATCACTGCGACCCACTGCGACCCTCACGGAATTGCGTATGTTGCATCCAAGAAAACACTGTTTCAGGTTGGTAGTAGTCTTAACTTCTCTGAATATTTTTGAAGTTCAGAGTTGTGTGCTGCTCCTTGCAAGGAACAAAAAGGACATGAGCCCCAGCACCCCAGACACACACACACACACACACACACACACACACACACACACACACACACAGCAGAGATCCTGTCCACCTCTGGACAGTCCAAACTGTCTTCACGGGTCATCTAGAGCTAAGGGCATCTCAAATGACATTTGGTCAGCCTCTCTTCTTCCAGGAAGCAAGCTGAGGCCCCAGAGGACCTCCCCCACCCTGCCTCCTCCTGGGTGCCAGGCTCTCCGAGGCCCGGCCCCCAGGCCACAGCACATTTGCAAGGCCATTTCCCTGCCCCTCAAGCTGGCCCTGAACCTGACCAGCACCGCGCACCGTGCCTCCAGTCCTTTCCTAAAACAGACACAGTGTCACATGGAGAGTCTGCACAGGCTCAAGGAAGGGACCAACAGGCCCGTGCTCCCGTGGGCCACCTGAGCAGGAAAAGACGGGTCAGTTGTCCCCTCACCCTTAGTCACCTTTACAGCCAGGAGCCCCCCTCTGGTACCCCTAACTTCCCCACACTTAAGGTTCAACCCTGCACCTCTAGTTCCGCCTTCTGGAGTTTAAACCCCACTGTTCCCTTCTGCCCAGCAGCTTGGAGAAAGAACCAGGGAGGACTGGGGAGGAGAGGCCTCACAGAAGGCCATGCACACTGCCCCTTCCGGCCCCTGCACCCCTGCCAGCCCTCCAGGCCCACACCTGCACAGAGGTGCCCTGAAATCCAGGCCCACAGCTAAACTCCGAGGAGCAGCCCTGGGCTCCAGTCTGCACTCTGTGGGCTTGGAGGGGAAGGAATGGGGAGCCTGTGACCCAGAGCAGAGCCCATCAATGAATGCCCTGTCCAGGCTTACAGGGGCCAAAGGCTCATCATCTCTCCCACCTGCTCAGTGTCTCAGAGGCTCAAGAGAAAGGATCCCGCCTGCTTCCTGCCTCAGCCTGACCAGCACCCACAGTCCTCTGTGGTCCTGTCCAGGAGGCAAAAGCTAAGGAGGTGGGAGTTTGGGAGCCAGCGCTGGAACCTCAGGGAGGTTTAAGGCAAAGTGTCGGGGTTTCCTTAAGCACAGCCCAGCCAAGTGCAGCACGGAGCTTGCAGGCACTTTCCAGGGGAAAAAGGCGGCTGGAACGCTTCTGATCCAGCGGAGTTGGGACCTTGTTTTCCCCACCCTAGGCTGCAGCTTGTGCTGGGCTCTGGCTCAGCTCCGTGGTGTCGGTGTCAGGAATAACAGCCCAGCCGCCCCCTCCCACTGCCCCCACCCACGGTGCCTGCAAGGCAGAGCCCTGGCTGTGCGCAGAGATGAAACCAGCACTGAGGTCTCGTCTCAGAGGCTTTGTCTAGAAGCCACCTGTCCAGGTGTCCCCCACACCTCGGCTTTGTCCCTCTTCCCAAAGCCACCTGTGTGGGCGCTCCTCGCCCAGCATCTCTCCTACCATGTCTCTGCGCCTGCTGCTGCTGGCTGAAGTACGTCTGGGTTCCCGGTCCAGGGTCCCCCCTTTCCTGCTGAGCCAGATCCTGATCTGCAGGGTAGTACCCCGCCTGGCCCAGCCCTGCCCGGCCCAACCTCCATCCCAAGCGGAAGAGGGGGCTCCTTTCACAATAAAAGCCCTGCCCAGTTCAGGCATGGGATCCAGGTCCCCCTGTAGGGTGTATGGGGCTATGGGGTGGACCCCCACACTCACACCCCAGCTGGCCACAGAGCCTTGGAAAGATGAGTCTCTCTTGGAACCTTTTCACCAGTCCGGGCTCAGCTCCCAAGGGCGGTTTGGAAGGAAAAATCTGCTGACCGTTTAGGATCATTAACAAGGAGCAGATTCTCTCCTGGAGAAGGGATCATTGTTAGAGTTGCTGGAGTCCTGGCTGGGCTTGCCCCTCAGGGCGGTGCCCTGGGTCAGTGGCTGCAGTCCCTACAATGCTGCAGGGCTGCATGCTCTGCAGGGGAAGAGTGCTGGGTTTGAATCCATAGCCCGGAACTGGCCTGGTGGCCTTGCTGCTAACAGCTGGTGGCTTCCAACCAGTCCCTGGGGCTTTTGGGGTCCCACCCTTGGACCTTATGGTTCTTAAGAGCTGCCAGGCAGTGGAGAGAAGTGGACAATATCCAAAGGAGAGTGCCCCGAGAGTCCTGATCGAACGGGAGCATGGGGGAAACAGGTCTCCCCCAGATGCCTGCCCCAGGTACAGGTGAACTTACTGACCCCACAAGGAGGGAGAGCGTGGAGCTCTAGAAATAGACCCCGGGTTGAAAGATGAATTCTGCCACATTCAACCGTGTGACCTCTCTAAGGCAGTGCCTGCCTCAGGAGGTCCCATAGGAAGTCTCCAGTGGGCAGCGAGTATCAGGAGTGTCACACTCCTAGGAGCTCCCTACAGCCCTCCTGTTCCTCTCCAAGCCTGGCTTGGAGCCTCTGCAGCTTTGGGGACTTTCTTACCTTGTCCCAGGACCCAAGCAGCAGGGTACACCTTAAAGGTGTACCTTGAAGGTAATTGTACCTACTTGTACCTTGAAGGAAGGACAGCATTGACCAGCCCAGTGTTGGTCCCACAAGGCAGGAGCCTGCGGGGTGGCAGACCCCATCTCCTGGGACCTGGCAATGCGCTCAGTCACAGGACCCTGATTTTCAGCGACATCCACCGTGGTCCCCTCACAAGGGACAGAAAGGAAAAGGCACTGAGCTTCCTGTCAGCAGGCACTGAGCTTCCTGTCAGACATGCTGTGGGCCTGGGCCTTCCTCAGCTGCCGCCTGGTGTCCTGGCCCACAGGGTTGCACAGAAGCCGAGATAAACCAGGACAGTGCACACAACTGGACTCCTCCCATCCCTCGCCAGGAGTGACCAAGCACGGTGTCCTGAGCCTGCTCCAGCTCACGGCCAGCTGACCTCTTTCAAGGTGGCACCCTGGAAACTCTTCTACCATACACAGTTGCCTAGCAACCCGAGAGGGGCTAGGCATCAGTTTCCCCAGAGGCCTGTGGGTTAAAAGGCCTTGTCCCCAGGTTGGCACTGGCGGGGGGCAGCGGGACCTTCGAGAGGAGGCACCTAGTGGAGGTCTCTTGGTCCTCCAGCGATGCTTCTGCTCTGTCATCGATGCCTATTGCGTGCTGCCTCTCCACACACCCAGGGCAGGTGGGAAGACCCGTTACTAAGATGCCGGGTCCTTGCTGCCACTGTAACGCCTGACAGTCAGAGGCGTCTGTCCCTGGGTCGTGGAAGACTTTGAAACCCTTTCGAGCACATCTCTGTCAGTTTCTCATCACTGAGGCAGAACACCCGATACCCACAGCTCCCAGGAGGAGATGCTGGTCCGAGGCAGGAAGGGCATGGCGAAAGGGGCTGGTGGAGGGGAGCTGCGCCACCCACAGCACACAGCAAATGGAGAGAGAGGCAGGGACACCCATCTGGCCATACCCCAGTGACCACCTCCAACCAGGCACCCCCAACAGGACGCAGCTATGGCCCCAATGATCCAATCATCTTCCACATACAGGGGCCTTTGGGGGCCACCAGGATCTATACCATAACAGAGGTGCAGGCTGGAGAAAGTCTGGGATACGGGAAGCACAGCAGATCTCCACAAGGGGCAGAACAATACCATGCCAATGGACGCTCAGACAGTAAAGCTGACACCAGGGAGGTGTCAGGCGGAAGGATCCCAGAGGACCGGAACAGAAGCTACCCTAGCTGCACCGAGGCAGAGCATGTGTGTGCCCTGTGACCGGATCCTGGTGCGGAGCTGAAGGGTGATAGACTGGATTGGTCCAAAGCTGTGACCTGGTCTAACTTGTTATTTTGGCCAAATTTACAGTGAGAATCAGAAGCAAAGAGGAGCAGGACAGAAGAAAACTTTGGGGAATCTGCAGCCTTCCCTAAAAAGGACTGCGAGTGAAGGCATGACCCAGGACACCGCAGCTGGTACCCGTAACTCGAAGCCAACTGCTGTGCACCAGGGGGAGGCAAGATGCAGGGGACATCTCCAGACCTGACATCTCCAGACCTGGAAGGTGCACCTTCCGCACCTTCCAGCTCAGACACAGGAGGGAGCTATTAACACTGAGGGTGTGCACTGGGACGGAGGGGACTTTCCATTTTTCTGTGACTCTAAAAGTGCTCTAAAAAATAACAACTTTGGGAAGAAAAAGTATGGGGAAAGAATAGGCATGCACCAGATTAATATTTCTTTAATCTAGGTGATGGTTACATGGTATTCTGCCTCTTTTAAAGTTGTGAAGTTGGGGCTGGGGATTTAGCTCAGTGGCATAAGCACCTGCCTTGCAAGCAGGCGATCGTGAGTTTGATCCCTGGTACTGATTAAAAAAAAATAAAGTTGTGAAGTTTAATCATTCAGGAAAATAAAGAGAATGATGAGACAAAAATATTTGAAAAAGTCGATGCATGGTTAATGTCTTAGAGGATTTTTTAATTTTCCAAACAATTAATAATTAACAATATAACATATTGCTGGGTAGGAAAAAAAGATTCTGTGTTAATGGAGCGATGTAGAAAGCCTGGGCTAGACATGGTGGAGCATTCCTGTAATCTGAGCACTGTGGGAAGCTGAGCAGGAGGATCATACGTTCAAGCCAACCCTGAACAGTTTATCAGAACCTTATCTTTAAATTAAATGGGGTATTAGGTCAGTACAAAGCCCTGAATTTGATCTCCAGTACTTCCCCCCTCCAAAAGAAAAACGCAGAAAGAAGGAAGGAAGACAGGGAGAAAGGAAGGGAGAGAAAGCCCAGAAACAAACCTATGTTAGAATTTAAGCACTTGAATTGTGGGGACATCATAAATCAACAGGTTTGAAAAACATTCACTGTTACAGGGATTCACTGTTCTAGGGATTCACTGTTACAGGGATCCACTGTTACAGGGATCTGCTGTTACAAGGCTTCTGTAACCACCAAGTGGTTTAACACTGTAAAAATCGAATCTTGCTTTTAAAATGTAGCATAACATAGACAGGAGCCAGTACACTTATCCGGCCAGATACGCTGTACACAATGAGGCATTATACACTGCATTAACAATCTTAAAATACTGAAACACAGTGCATTAAAGGGCATACAACATTAAAATTTTCACACCAGAGATTAAAGTTAGAAAACTAATATAGCAAAATGTTCAACCTTACTAACTGTAGTAAAGAAATACAAACAAAAACAAGTAGCATTTTATACCAGTTAATTTTTAAGTTTAACTTCTGTGACTGTGTATCATGATTCTCAGTTCTAATGTTCAAAGACACCTGGAAAATTAGTAAAACACTTCCGGATGTGTCTGGGTGGGTCACAGGGACATCCCTGGGGCCGACTTGCCCCCAACATATTCCCACCACTCTTTCCAAGCCACTCTGCTTCCCGGCACCATGAGGTGAGGAGCGTTGCCCCATCACACCCTCCTGCCAGGAAGCTTCTCCCTGGGGCCAGTCAACCATGGACTGAGCCCTGCTAACCGTTCAGTTGTATATGTCAAGCATTGTGTCCCAGCAACAGGAAACCTGACCAATACAACATATGCTACTGGTGATAAGACTGAAGTCAAGGGCTGTAGTTAAATATTTCTGCTACCAAAATAATTGGAACAATACTTTAAAAAAGGTACCACGCATGGCAACATGTTTTTAAAATAAATAATTTTTATACTTTTGGGTTTGGTTAAACTCAGTTCCAGAAATTTATTTCAAGAAAATCATTCCCAAGAAAGGGAACTATACTGATGATGTTATCACAGCAATGTGATTTTCAACCACTAACCACTCTGGCCAAACATGGCAGTACCCTAAGGTCCATGTTAAATGCTGGGTCCCAGGGTGGTGCTTTTAGGAGGTGGCAGAACCTTTAGGGGACAAAGACTAATGAGAGGTCCTTAGAGCATTTGGATCCTGCCAAAAGGGGACTATGGCACCCTGGTCTCCTCCTCTGTTCTGAGTCACAGACAAAATCACCTGCTGCCCACACACATGCCCACCCCTGTGTCCCCCGTGAGCCCAGGTGCTGCAGCCGGGCATGTCCCTGGCCAAGCTCTGGATGACACCATTCACACTTGAAGCCTCCAAATCTTGAGCTAAATAAAACTCTTCTCTTTGCAGTTAGTTGTCTCAGGTAACATAAAGCCAAAAACCACAGTCACAAATGGAAATTTCCTAGTGCACTTCAACAACAATGACCGACAGAGGTGAGTCTCTAACCTGAAAGAATTCAGAATCTGAAGAAGGGAACAACACAGGGCATGTCCACTCCCAGTAACTATGCTGTGCATACAGAATTGGGAGGGCAGGAAGATGCTTAAGACAGTAATAATAAAAGGAAAACAAAACCGAGTATTTCATCTGCTGTGGCTCACTGATGTGCACACATGGACAGGAGCGAACAATGTGTGTGGAAAAAATACAGAGGAATCTGCTGGGGAGGGAGATTAAATTTCTTCCTAAAGCACTTAGAATTAACTTGTACACAACTGTGATGTATTTTTGCCCTGTGGTAATAGTCACAATACACACACACACATACACACATATACTGAATTATATAAGCTGAACCACTGTTTCCTCCTTCCTGCTTCATAGGTGTAGAAACTGTTTAAAGTTTGACACAGCAAGCTGATGTTGCCAAGACAACCAAAGCTGTCGGAATGTGCCTACTAGATTGTCCCTCACGAGGAAAAACGAGGCTAAAAAGCAAAGAGACACAGACTAGTTTAAAATGCAGGAAC